TAGTAAAATGTTTTGTATTTTGTAAATTTATTAAAATAAATATACTCAAAGACAAAAATTGGACACTCATATTTTGTTGTTTATTTCAAACTATATGTATTTTTTATTGTTATATTAATTACATCATAAATAAACGAGATCGGAAATTCAGGTGTTTTAACAGAAATTATTCAATTATGGTAATTTGAAAGAAATTCACCAAAACACAGGCAAATCATTTTGTGATAGAATAAATTGTTAATTTAAATTTTAATCTCTCATTAAATGATTTTTTTGGTAATTAATATACTGATAAAAACACATATAGTTTGAAATAAATAACAAAATACTGCTGTCCAGTTTGTTTTTTTATTGTTAAAAAATTACCTCTGCCCTATTCTTATCCTGACAAAGAACCCAAAGTGGTGTAATGTTCTTGCAGAAGAGAGGCACATTAATCTTGCAGTATTTTCCTGTCTTCAAGAGAATGTTTTGGCCAGAATGATCGCACATGTTCTTAAATATAAGAGAAAATTTAACAAAAATTATTCAGAAATCGTGAGATGCAGTCTGGTGTGATGTAGGTTTCAGAAAAACATTTTCTTTATCTTGCCAACGTTTTGATCTTTATTGAGATCATCTTCAGGGCTCAAAGTGTTTGTCTTCTGTGCAATTGTGCCATTCTTGCGTGTCATGTTGAGAGTTCACGATTTCTGAATAATTATCTATTAACGGTCACTAATCACCACACATATAACAAAAAATTTAAAATAGAGAGAAAATCTTGTACATACCTTCCATACTGATTTTGGGTAAAAAGAAATCTTCAGAACATTTAGAATCAGATCAAAAATTCTCTGGTAAGATTTTACAGTTAGCGCTTAAAATGCGATAAAATTTGTAATTGATTACTTTCATTGACGTTAAACTGTCGCACTAAACAGGGGCATGCTGAACCAAAAGATTATGATGGAAAAAATACATAAATTAAATTAGAATAAACAAGTTTTAATTTTAAAAAGGACATACCTAAATTTTTCATTTCATACCAAAGAACCAATACAAAACAAATTCCTAAGACTTGCCACTTCATCTCCGAGATACACAAGGCTTACCCAAATCCATACGGTAACTGGCATAAAATGGATTCGCGACATAGTTGTGAACACGAAACAACATTTTATCTCAACTGAAAACCTTAATTAATTGTAATGAATAACAACCCAGAATAACAACCCTAACTATCCTTAATCATTTTTTTGTTATTAGACAACACTCACTAAAATACCGCAAAATTGGTTTAATTGCAAAATATGAGTCAGCTTAGATGATTAGTGGTTTTTTTGTAAACTTTTTTTCCCCACTAAGTGAATCCGAGGGTTCTACCTATACCTAAAGTATTTAAATTTTCAGATGATTGCTTTAGGATATAGAGCCCTGTTACTTTTCCCCTAAATTAAAAATTTATGTAGTACCTATGTCCTATGTAATTTGTCAATAAATATATTACTACTACTACTACTGACAAAGGATTAGACATGTATATCCAGATAAAAATAATTCACATCATTAGTACTACTATTTGAAAATTATTTAGCTGTGGGCTACCAAGCACGAATAAACTGTCAAAGGAATAACTGTGTGGTTAGGACCAAGAGAATGCGGTTCTCATTCAGATTGATACATTCCTATGAAGGTGTCTGCCTTCTCCCGGAATCCAAGCTATTTTCCCAATATACATAGTTCCCTTTTCTCGAGGGATAAGGCTTTAGAAGCGTGTAGAACTTTAGTGTGTTCGCGCTTATAAATTGGTACAAGCGTACTGTAAGTTGAACTTCAATATTATTTGACCATCCAGTGAAAGTTAATTGCAATGCTGATCGACCTGGTAATTTTATATCAAAGAACAAGGCCTTCCTTCAACTATAAATTATCTATTTATGGGTATATACATAAATTACACCCTTTTACTAAGAATATAATTCAACAGGCATAAAAGTTTAAGTAGTAGATAAACAAAATTGATAAAATAACAAAAACCACAGCAACAACAAACATTAACCTAATAATAATAACATGTATGTATTTAGTAGTCATAACTGTCCGTATTAATTATTGAAATTAATTATACTTTTTATGTAAGGTCTTGGTTGAGATGAAAATGTTTGTCACGAGTGGGATTTGCCATGACCTTCGGCTAAACATGCCACTGCTCTAACCACTTGAGCTATCATGACTTCGAAGGTTGTGGGTTCGAATCCCACTTGTGACACTGACTTTTTCATCTCGAAGAAGACCTTAGATAAAAATTATAATTAATTTAAATAATAACAACAATAAAGGGGGGCGACAGTGGCCGCAACGGTTAAGGCGTTGACACGGCACTCATCACTATACGGTAAAGGTCCATGGTTCGAATCCAGCAGCCCTGCATTGAAACCCGACATACCTACAAATGTTTGTTTTTTTTTTGTTTTTTTTTCAAAAACACCGGCACCCCGAGGGTTGATATAACTTCTGCTGTTGCGAACCCTCATAAAAAAGAAGAAAAAACAATAAACTAAATTTATATGCAACTATATTTATTTTAAAATGATCTCTAAAATGATTGCCTTTAATTTGTGATCTATTAATCAGGAAAATTTAGGAACAACTGAAAGGGATCGATGCCAGTGAGAAAAAGGTCGTCCTGGCTAAGTTAGCCATGATACCACATGACCCATCTCACTTTGTATGTCTAGTGGACTTACAAAGCACAATGGTTAATGCAATTAAAAATAAAAAAATAATAAATAAAATGAATGAACCCATATTATAATAATAGGCCTGCAGAGGTCGGGCTAGAAGAGTTCATACTTACTAAGTTGCACATAGATCCAAGACACCTTAATGATAGATTCCTTTTTGAAAAGACAGTTCCTACTCACAGTAAGTTGTTTTGCAACGAACGGGTTTCGAGCCCTTAGCTCATCATCAGTTTGTAGAACTCCTTCAACCTGATGATGAGCTAAAAGCTCGAAATCCGGATCATTGCAAAACAACTTACTGTGAGTAGGAACTATCTTTTTAAAAAGGATTGAACACCGCACTCTCTCCAACATTCAACATTTCCCTTAATGATGTGGGTGAGAAAAATAGGTGCTCCTTGTGAGGAGAACATCATGAAAGAGCTCATAGTGACATAGTGAAAAAAATTAAGTCCTCAAAGAAAGACAAACGGCACCCCGAATGACCTATGCACAGCCTTGAGGCTCAGTAGCAGGAACAAATCACTGATCCAATATCTCAGGGCCATAAATATTTGTAATTTTATCTTTGTACCTTAAGGTATGTGATATGTGCTATTTATTGGAATGAATTTATTTATTAGTATGAATTTATCCCCGTTACCTTGAGGATATCATGTACTCTGGGGTAGTGTGAACGTAATTTATTAGTGTGAATGGACAAGCTTATCCAAAATTACCCTGAGTAATCTCAAGTACTCTGAAAAGTGAGAATGTAATTTATTAGCGTGAATGGACAGGCTATCCACAATTACCCTGTGGTCGAGTACTCTAGGATAGTGTGAATGTTTTTATTTTGTTTACAATCATTGCAAAATACTATGTTATAGAGTATTTGTAAAATTATTTTAAAATAAAGGTCACAGTAGCTGAGTGTCAGCATGATAAACTCTCAGCCCTAGACCTGGTCATGGGTTCAATTCCCACCGTCACCCCTGGTCCTTTTTTTCAAGCAACCCTTCCCCCCCCCCAAAAAAAAATGAATAAGCATTGCTTATCTCTATAATGTACGTTGGTTAATATGCAAAGTTCATAAGGCCATTAAAAAAAGAAAAAACATTTCATTAATTTTTCTTTGTAGTTAGCCATCATTACAGACATCCTTTACACCCAGATGCGAAACTACTTCTTGCGGCCAAGATTTCATAAATATGTGTGAATTTAATTTCATTACAATTAATTAAGGTTTTCAGTTGAGATAAAAAAGACAATGGCACGAGCAGGATTCGAACCCATGATCTTCGGCTTGATACGCTGCTGCTCTACCACTTGAGCTATAGTGACCTCAATCCACTCAGACATCAACTTCCCATCTCAACCACACCTTTTGAATTTTCCCTCCTTTTTGCCATTTTTCAAATGTCGTGTAATCAATTTGATTTTCGGCGACAAAGGAAATGTCCACGGAGAGCTTTAGTAAAGGTATACTTCATTTTAAACTTATTCAATTCACTAGTTTCGTGGTCCGCTTGACCAATTAATGCATTACAATTAATTAAGGTTTTCAGTTGAGATAAAAATGGACGATTACACGACATTTGAAAAACAGCAAAAAGGAGAGAAAATTCAAAAGGTGCGGTTGAGATGGGAAGTTGATGTCCGAGTGGATTGACGTCACGATAGGTCAAGTGGTAGAGCAGCGGCGTATCAAGCCGAAGATCATGGATTCGAATCCCGATTGTGCTATTTATTTTTTTATCTCAACTGAAAACCTTAATTAATTGTAATATATTAGTTGGTCAAGCAGCCCACGAAACTAGTGAATTTAATTTAAGTTCACACAGAAAGTTTACAATGTAAATTATGTCAAATTTATAAGCATTTGCGTTAAAAGGAACTAACACAAATTCAGTCTCAGGAAACATTTTTGCATATGCGCTCAGTCAATGTTAGTGTCCTTTGATTAAAGTATACATTTATTATCTTCTTTGTCTTATTTTTTGACTTACAAAAGCATTTATTTGATTGTCCTTTCTGTCAACCACTAAAACCAATGAATTCCATACGACAGAGAAAATAAGAAAAAAACAGTGAGAATAGGCAGACGAGGTTGATCAGGGATGATCAAATTACACTTCCATCATTTCACCATATTTCACAAGAATATGTCTGTTAAGGTTACTAGTAAAATATAAATTTAAAATATAGAATTTAATAAATTACATGAAGAAAAGAAACAACAGGAATGTCAAAAAGAGAAACAAACACTTTTAATAAATTATTTACAATGTTCAATAAACAATGTCTTCTGGCTCTCAATTTAACATTCAATCATTGAAAGTTTGGTTTGACAATATAAGCAGAAGAGATGTACAAAAGGCAGGGGAGATGTGCAATAAATACGTCACAATTTATTTTTTTAACACCAAAATGTTAAATTGGTTGTTTTTGAATACATAAATAAAATTTTACAAAAGAATAGTCTAAATTTCTATGAACTTAAAAATCATGTCTTGCCAAAGCTTTCAGTCTACTAAAACGACACCATGCTGTGTCCTTCCCCTTCATCTGCATTTACCATTTCATCCCAAAGCACTTCGACCATGTGAACACTTCCGTCCTCGGCTACTGAAAGCACTTGTTTAGTCGGGTCTGAGTTGTCTGGCATCTGAACATAAAGCGTCCCATCTTCCGCTTGCTCCACTTTCTGTAGAATTATACCGTTTTCGTCGACCATGCACAGTGTGTTGGCACCGTCTTCGCCTTCGACAGCCTGTAGTGTCATCTGTTTAGTCTCTCCTCCCACAGTCATCTGAAGCATCTGGGGCTCGACCGAATTCACCGCAGATTCGTCGGCAAACTCCTGTCCTATTTCAGCGGCGATCATTTCCACTGTCTCAGCACCCTCTGACACCATGGAGTCCTTTTTCTCTTCAGGCTCGACGGCCACGCTGCTGGGCTGCTCGTCCAGAGCCTGCATCCTGACTATCTGTTTTTCAGTTCCGTTCTGTTTTTCTTCGACAGACTGCTGAGTGCTGACCTGATTCGCTTGACTTGTTGGCACTGACTTTTCTTTTGAGTGTCCTCTTACATGATGTACCATATAAGCATTGTAATGTGTTGTGTATTTACACCGATCACATTGAAGCCATGTCACATCTTTCGTGTCCTTTAACTGATCTGGATCTACTTCACCACTAATCGCTTTTCTTTTCCTGGACTATAATATAAAAAAAAAGGCATTACTTTTTATTCCTTATTGCAAACATAAATCATCCCTTCATAATTATGTACCTGGAAATCTGTGGATAAAATATCTGCCTTTCCTTCTATAACAAAATCAATTTTTTGTAAATAATGGACAAGCTAAAAGAAAAAGGAGAATTACCTTTGCCCTTTCCTACATTTGGATTAGACCTCGTATTAACCAGTTCACCTTCTTCTAAGTCGTATTTCTTTTCCAAATATCTAAGCACCATTGACCTCAACGAACCAAGCTCTTTTTCAAGCCTATCTAACGAGTTGATCATTGTCGCACACCCTCGACAAATAATATCATCTTGTGATATAACAACCATATAACTGAAATATAAAATATTACCTTATCATCATATACTACAAATAAAGTATATTATTCAAAAGTAAAAATTTTCAAAGTGGATTTTCAATCAATTCCTTTAACACGTTCACAGTAGATGATGCCACAGTGGCATCATGAGTTTGAATAATAACACTAAAACATGTACAACTTCATCGTTGAGGTTTCAATGTTTGGAAGTGATACAGTTTGAAACTGCCGAAGAAGTCGATTGACTAAATGATGAGCTCAAAAGCATTAACATCATTCCAAGAGTGAACATTTCGCACATTTGTCAATTCGACAGTCAAGTTGACTCACTGTGAAGTTACTTAAATCCGGCAATTTCTTCCGGGATCACATTCACTCCCACATGTCAGACACACCAGAAATTGTTGGATGTTGGCTGGCTCTGCAAATGTTTTCTTATTATGAGCTCTGGACAACTCAATTAATAGAAAAATTAATATTTATGAAAGGTATTGTTCGAAATAAAAAATTTAGTGTAACGAGCGGGATTCGAACCCACGACCTTTGGCTAAATACACCGCTGCTCTACAACTTGAGCTATCGTGACTTCGATCCAGTCAGACACCAACTTCCCATCTCAACCTACAACCGTTCGAATTTTCCCTCCTTTTTGCCATTTTCAAATGCCACGTAATCTATTGAAAAACAGTGTGAAAGACACTGACTTTTTTATCTCTACTAATACCTTTCATAAATATTAATTAATTGAAAAATGTTAATTGGTCAATTGGACAACGGACTGTAATAGATTTAATAATTAAACTTAAGTATATCTTCATGAAAGCTCTCTGTAGCCATTTTATTTGTCGCCGAGAATCAAATAGATTACACGACATTTGAAAAATGGCAAAAAGGAGGGAAAATTCGAATGGCTGAAGTTGGTGTCCAAGTAGATCGAAGCCACGATAGCTCAAGTGGTAGAGCAGCGGCGTATTTAACCAAAGATCGTGGGTTTGAATCCCGCTCGACCAATACCTTTCATAAATATTAATTAATTGAAAGATGTTAATTGGTCAAATAATAGATAAAACTTTAATTCATTCTGGACTGCCACCAGAGGTAATGTTGTGCATCTGGTGAGAATGGAAGTAGGTGTGGGGCCAAACCAAATTACAATAAATTATCATTATCAACTAAAAAGCCTCATGAGTTCATTAACAAGCTTGCTGGTGAGTCCACTGTAGGGCAAACAACCCTAATCGAAATGGGAAAGCTCGAGGGAGAAGACGGGATTTGCGGGTACTGATTGGGAAGAGTTGGCTTATAACAAGATTTTGGAAATGTGGGGTTTCTACAAGATAGGGTTTGATCAAAGATGATCTCAAGGTTTTTGACAGATAGATAAAAAACAGGAAATGGATAGGACGAACACTGGGAAAAAAGGACAACGCCATCTAGAAAAGTGCTCGCTCTAGAGTTGAACCCGCAAGGACAATGCAAGATTGGACAACTGAGGGAAACATAGAGACAATCTCTTGGAAAAGAAATTCCAAGCATGTTGACAAATAAACAGTATTTTTTCTTTTTTTAATTTCAACAACCCTCACAAAATCTCAGGTTTCAATTAATAAGAAAAAAGGTTCAATTAAAGCGAAAAAAGTTTCAATTAAAGCAAAGAGTTTCATTCGACCTGAAAATGCTATATGTATTTGTAGCCCGCAATCATGTTTGGAAGTGGGTAGATGATTTAATAACAAAAATAAAATAAAAACTATGATCCACTGTGGGTGCCAGGGCACAGAGGAATTTTGGGTAATGAGAAAGCAGACAGACTAGCCAGAGGAGGATCTGCAAGAACCATAGGCCCCGAACCTATACAGTGAAACCACGCTTAACGAGCACCTTCCATAATGAGTGATTTGCATAATGAGCAAAACAAAATGTAAAAAAAAAATTACTCCTTTAAGGAGCTATATTTCACAGAATGCGTGACAAGGATCCTGCCTGCATCTCGGCTTTCAATCTGTGTTTAATGCTCGTTCAGCTAGTATTTTACTGTCGCTTGTGAAAGTTGTATTCAGACACATTATTGTGTTCTTTGTTTTTTTTAAGGGCTCTCTTCGAGCATTATTTTGAGGTAACTGAAAGAACCAATCTCACTCTCAGAGTCTTGGAAAGACCACTTTCACATCATTGCCTGCCTCAAGATGATTGACAAGGCATAGGAGGGGGTCACCAAAAGAACTCTTGTTTCTGCATGGAAGAAGCTTTGCCAAGGTAGCGATGACGAACGTGACTCCAAGGCTGCGAAGTCTCTAATCGACGAGATTGTGTCTCTGGCCAAGATTATGGGTCTAGAGGTGAATAGCAAAAACATCGATGAACTAATGGAAGAGCGTAGCCAGGTACTGACCACCGAACAGCTTATGGAGCTGCATTCTGTGTTACAGCAAGAAGTTATGGAGAAAATTTGTCAGGGGAGGAGGAGATAACAGCCTCAGCACACCAACAACCTTCCAGTAAAATAACGAAGATGCTGAAAGCATGGGAAACTGTTGAATCGTATGTTGAGAAGCATCATCCTAACATGGCAGTAGTTATGCGTGCTACAAATTTATTTAACGATAAATTTTCGCGTAGGCAAAAACAAATGTCTTTAGACAACTTTCTTGTAATTTTTTTGTTTTTTAATGGAAATTTTTTTTTCGCTTAACGAGTGTTTCGCATTACGAGTAAAGCCTAGTACGCACTGGGATTCTTTGTTCGGATTCTTTATCACAGAGCTGCATCTGGGATTTATTTTCTTGGGTCCAGGACGCTGCGCGACAATAAATCTTGAATATGGTGTGTTGCGTTTTATTATTTTTTGAATCCCATCTTAAATGGGATTCTTTACTTGTTGGGAAACATTGAGTCAGTGTGAACGTGAATCAAACCAAGTGGACCTCTCAACCACTCTCACGCAATGTTTATTTTACTTTTCCACTTTCGTTAAAATGTGGATTCCACTTTACAGTCGATTGAAGTCTGCAAATGCAGCGATGTTTGTGGGATGTTTCCTCAGAGGAAAGAAAGCTGACACTGTAGCTGTGTTAGCGCAAAAATATGAAGTTAGGCTTGCATATGAGTGACTTGTGAAGAAACGAAGAGCGATTGCTAGCCTATTGGTAGCAGAAACTGGCACCATAAAATTTGTATCCTTTTTCCAAATGTGTGGTCCAACCATTTCCAAATGACATTTGAAGTCGATTGGACTCATCCGAACAAAATTTTGGAATTCGATTCTGTCTTCCAATCTCAATGTCAAGATCGTGCCCATGCTTATAACATGATCCTTGAATATCCAAATCCACCAACTTGGTGGCTTTTTGTTAGCTCTTGTTTTACTCTATAGAGATATGTAATGTAATAATGCAATCCCCGAGCAGACGAGATGCAGACACAATTTGCATACACATGGCAAGAGTCTGCGATGAATTCAAGAGTCTGCGACAGAAAGTCCGAACAAAGAATTCCAATGCGTACTAGGCTTAAGATTCAGGAATAAATTATTCCACCAAGACTGGCAAAATCACTGCTGCAATTGGAGAGGGCTAGACTCAAAGGAGTGGTAGGACTACTAACCAGTCACTGGCATCTGAGAAAACATTACATAATATATACACAATGATGATCCATCTGTAGACTGTATGAGGAGGAGGAAACAGCCACCCATATCATCTTCGTATGCGAAACAACAGCTCAATGGAGATTTAACCTAACAACACCTAACAAAAAAATCTAGGGAATGAAATTGTAGCAGCGACAGTCAATGATCTGATACTTCTAAGGAGAAGGATTGTCTATTGCACTGAACTAAGAACTAGGAAGGTACAAGCCAGAAGGCTGCAGTGCCTGGGGAGCACAAACCATGCTTCCTAGTATCCTCATACCATACCATCGTCCACCAAGCAGCAGGGATAAATCAATGTGAAATTGTCACTTGAAAGTACATAAATATGAAATGAGTACTGTTGTTAGGTGATACTCACTCGTCGCCAACAAGATGGCCTAGTTTTTCTATAAGCCTCACTTTCGAAGTCTGCGTCCTGCAGTTGGCAAGGAGGTAATACCTTCCGATGACTCCGACATCGCATACAAAGCATACGAGGCCTTCAGTCCCGTTTGCTAACCCGCTCTGCACCTGCTTCGCCATGCTGTAAACGTGAAATCCCAAGTGAGCCGTGAAAAAAGTGATAAAAGTAAATAGAGAGAATGAAACAAAAAATAAATAAATGTGTTTACTGAATTGCCGTTTGACCCGGCCCGATTATAAACACGGGACGTGAGAGGAAATTCTCATTTCGGATGGAAAACGTTTTATTTTTCGTTTTTTTTTTTTTTTTTTTGTAGGACGCTTTTTATTTTTCCGAGACAATTGTCGAACTGAGTCGGTTGAATGTACAAAAGGCCGAAACTTGTTCGTCGCGAAGAAAGAAAAGGTTGGAAAAGTTTTCAAGATTTGGCGTATCCACGGTTAACGCGTGGAAATGGGTCGAAAATTGTTTTTTTTTTTAAAGTTCGGGCGTTGGCCGGTTTTAAGTCCGCCCAGAAGTTCAATAGAAAATCGCTTACCCAAATTTATTCAAGTCCGATTCGCCTTTTTTTTTATCCAAATTCAAAATAATCCGACCATCTCAAGTTCGCGGCCCGGGATAACCGCTGCCCGGATGAGACGGGAAAAGTGCGGAAAAGGCCGTGCGGCCGTTGAAGCGGCTTGAACTCCGGTCGTCGTCGACTCACAGCGGCCGTTGAGCTTTCTCACTCGCTTCGACGGGCCGAGCCCCGCTCAATCATCAATCACAGAATAACTCACGATTTTCAACAGAAAAATATTACCAACGCGTTAACCTCCTTCGGGGTCGAAAATGTGTTTTGTTTTGAAAAGGTTACAGAAGACCTAAATCGGGCTGCGGGCCCGGCCGAGCCCCGGGCGGATCAACGGCTGGCAGACGTGAAAAATAAATGTGTCATCCTTACTCTCGAATTAAAACCGTGCCGGTGGCCGATTCGGAAAGTGAATCTCTTTATGAATTTTCGAAAGAGAAAATAAACAGAGGGCCGGTGACACAACCCTCCAGTCCGCAGGTTGGCCTTCAGAAGGGAGAAAAATGGGCAACGCCAAGCAACCCACTCCCACGGACGGAAATCCAACGCAAAAACACTACGCAAATCCTCCAAACAACGCAGTCATGAGGTCTACACTTCTCCGTCGTAAAATCACTAGGACTGCTCGTCTACGCTAAATAATCGTCAATAAAAATATAATTAACTTCAAAAACGTCCCGATCCTATAAATAACATACTAAGGGGGCCTCAATATACATTTCTAAAAGAGCAGCAGATCTTATTCTTTTCTATCCAAGAAGAAACAATGATCCATCATTATTAGTGCGTTAAATGTTCAATTTCCTTCCCATTCCAGCACAATTAAATCGTCGACAAACGAAAAAAACGCCTCATCCTCCAAACATCAAAGTCATAAGATCTATCTTATTCAAATAAAGATGACTAGGCCAGCCCGTCTCCGCTAATATAACCATCAGTAAAGATGTAATTAACTTTTTAAAAAATGCTTTCTACAAATAATGTATTAACGAAGTTTCAATGCACATTTCTAAGAAGCCAGCAGATCTTCAAGTTTCTCTATGCAAGAAGAAACAATGGACCAACATTATTGATGGTTTAAATAAAAAATTTTCCTTCTAAATTGTAAATTATGTTCAGCCAGTACAATTCAAATATAGACAAATGTATGCTAAAACACATGTCAAATCCTCCAAACTCCTAAGTCATGATGTCTATCTTTATTCATCTTAAGATGACTGGGTCTGCCCATCAACGCTAATATAGCCATCAGTAAAGATGGAATTAAGTTAAGAAACACCATCAAAGTATAAATAATGTATTAACGAGGACTCAATGCATATGTCTAAGAGGCCAGTAGATCTTCAAGCTTTACTATGCAAAAATAAACAATCAGCCAACATTGTTGGTGGCTTGAATTAACATTTTTCCTTCCTAATTGTAATTATGTTCAGCCAGTACATAGACAAATGTATGCTAAAACATGCCTCTAATCCTCCAAACACCAAAGTCATAAGATCTTTATCCATCTTAAGTTGACTGGGTCTGCCCGTCTCTGCTAACATAACCATCAGTAAAGATGTAATTAATTTAAGAAAACCCTCATTCTACAAATAATGTATTTATGAAGATTCTTCTCTATGCAAGAAGAAACAATTGACCAACATTATTAGTGGCTTAAATTAACATTTTTCCTACTCACTTATTATGATCACGCCAGCACAATTAAAATGTCGACAAATAGATGAAAAAACACCTTAAAGATGTAATTAACATCAGAAACACCCTCATTCTACAAATAATGAATTAATGAGGACTCAATGCACATTTCTAAGAGGCCAGCAGAGCTTCAAGCTTCTTTATGCAAGAAGAAAGAATGAACTAACATTATTGGTGGTTTAAATTAACATTTTTCCTTCCCATTCCAGCACAACAACATAGGAAAAAATGACTCAAATCCTCCAAATTCCAAAGTCATGATGTCTATCTTTATCCATCTTAATATGGCTGGACCTGCCTGACTCTACTATTGTAATCATAATTAAAAATATATTAACTTGGGAAATGTCCTGATTCTCCTGTATAACCACATCAATGAGGCCTCAATCCACATTTTTATGGGATCAGCAGATCATCAAACATTTTTATGCGAGAAGAAACATTCAAGCAAATTATTGGCGGCTTAAATTTATATTTTTCCTTCCCACTTGTAAATTATGTTCAGCCAATACAATTCATAAATCAAACTAAAACATGCTTCAAATCCTCCAAACACCAAAGTCATAAGGTCTATCTTCATCCATCTTAAGATGACTGGGTTTGCCCATCTTCGCTAATATAACCACCAGTAAAGACATAACTGTCTTCAGAAACACCCTCATTTTAAAAATAATGTACTAATGAAATCTGTTGCACATTGTTGTTGTGGGGTTTTTTCATTGCCTGTGATACATAGATTTGAAAATCTTTGCATGCTGCCAATGTTTGAATTGCTTGGTTTTATTGAGCTTTGGTCCATCTGATTAGTGAGCGATGGGATTTTTGGGTTCTTACTGTCATATACAGCCAAGGAGACATTTTCGGTTTTAGTCTGCCAGATTTTTTCTAGAGTTCTTCTTGTGGTCTATTAGTGGTATTTTACTGGGTTTATTAAGTGATGGTGGTGAGGGGTCCAGATTAATTAATTATCCCTGGGTATTTAGAGATGAGTGGCTTGGGAACGACATAGGAAACTTTTATTAATTTGAGATTATTTTTCATTTTATTTCGGGACGAATTGTCTGAATTTATGTGTGACATTTGAGGTAGAGAACGCTTGTCAGAAGTTCGACGTAATCACCTATCCTGTCAATTCAATCGATTATTATAGAAAATAGTTTTTGATGTTAGTTCTGAAAGTTTTTTTTTCGTGTCGACCGTTAATCCTCCGGTAGTTTGGCCATCCAGATAGTTTTTGGCCGATTTTGAGTTTTCGACCGTCGAGGATGGCGGATTCGCGAAAATCGAGTGTGGGCCGGGCCTTGTCGCGATCGATGTATCGCCGCCAGTGCCGACCTCTCTCCAGTCGGAGTCAACCAGTCGTCGATCCCCCGTCTCCCCTGCCCAGAGCCAAAGTCAGAGACTCGGATCGTCTGCCAGTCGCGCTGTTTTGTTTGTCGTTTCCTTTCTTCGAAGTCGATCCCGTTTTTTATTCCGCCCAGTGACCGTTGCCTCTGAGGAGCCGAGACGACGCGATCGCCCCCAACACGTGGAGTGTCGTGCACTTTTCCAGGGAAACGATTCGATTTAAATGGGAACTGACAATCCGAAGACAAACGTGGAAAACGAGTTTAACGAAATCGACCGAAGCGATGGATGGATTCAGTTGTATCTGGTATTTATTTGACTCATTGCGCCTTTCCCGGAATGCCGTGTGGCCGTATCATTTGACTTTCCGCATTCCACAATAAAGAACAGCAGTTCTGCTTTTTTGTCTTATTCTTACAAATCAATTTTTGTCTTGTGTCTCATAAGGGAAATTGCCCGTTTTTGTAGGAGATAAAAGTGGAAAGCTCTAAGTACGACTTTTCCACGTCTGCGGCGATAAAGAAAAAGAATGCGGCGTTCAACAGATACCGGGACGTCAATCCGTACGACCACTCGAGGATCGTTTTGCAGAGGGGGACATGCGATTATATCAACGCCAATTTAGTTAAAGTGAGTACCGCCCGCACATTTTGCCGACGATCCAGGCCGACGTTCGATTTGATTTGGTCGAAGGCTTTTGACATTTAAGAGAGAGGGACGGCGTCGGCCGACTAAGGCCGTAAATCTGATCGATCCTCAATGTTATCGCGCGCTCCCAGGAATTTTCTTAACGTCAGGCCCGCCCAGATAAAAACAAACTATTAAAAAAAAATCTTCCGATATCTGTCGTCCGATGTCATCGTCGAACGCGGACGTTCTCAACTTATGACACTGGAATCTTATAACAACGCCACTTCCGCCTCGACGAGACAACTCGACAACTGTCAAGTGGTTGGCAAAGAGTATTTTCAAAATAATCGCTTTTCAATTGAATATTGACATCCATTGGCATTCGTAACAGTTTTTTTTTAATCATTTACATTTATCTTTATAACATGCAATGTGGGTTGGGTTCAAATATCTTTTCATGTGTTGACTAATAGCTGAGGAATTATTCAACTGTGATTACTTCCTAAGTGCACATTGCATCAAAAAACCCACGCCATATTTTTAGATGTTACATTAAACTCCATGGACTTCTTTAATTTTTTGCACTTTGACTGAGAACATAAATCATAAAACAATTTTTTTTTACTGATAACTTACATATAATTTTTACATAGGGCACGCCATTTAATAAATTTTGTAGATTTTATTTATTTTATAGCACTTTGTAAACGTAAAGCTTTTCCACCTGTACGTGACACATAAACACGACACATTTGTCAACTGCCAACTGGTAAAGAGAATGTTCAGAATAATCACTTTAGAACTGAATATTGACATCTATTGGCATTCATTACATAGTTTTTTCTTTATCATTTACATATTTCTATAACGGTTCAAATATCTTTTCATGCGTTGACTAATAGCCAAGCAATCATTCAACTGCGATTACTTCTAAAATGCAATGCATGTTGCATCAAAAAACACGTGCCTTTGGTTATTCTTTTTTTATATTAAATTTTACACCATGCAGTTATATTTTTAGATGCTACATTAAACTCCATGGACTTACTGCATTTAATTTTGTAGATCTTATTTATTTTATAGCACTTAAACTGTAAACTTAACACTTTTCCACCTGTATGTGACAAATAAACATGACACATTTGTCAACTGCCAACTGGCAAAGAGAATTTTCAGAATAATCACTTTCAAACTGAATATTGACATCCATTGGCATTCATTACATAGATTTTTTTTTAACATTAACGTTTATCTTTATAACATGCAGTGTGCATTGGGTTTAAATATCATATGTATTACTTATTCCATCAAAAAACTTGTTTTTTTTTTTCTGATATCTTTTTTTTTTCTTGTTCATTTTATAGCAATTAACTGTAAACATAACACTTTTACACCTATAAACACGACACATTTGTCAACTGCAGTTTTTTCTCTTATGTGATTACTTCGAAAGTGCAATGCACGTGAAAAACACGCCTTTATTTATTCTTGTTTTTTGTAAATTTTATGCAATGTAGTTATAGTTGTAGATGTTACATTCAACGCCATGGACTTACTGCAGTTTTTCGCACTTTAACTGAGAACATAAATCTTAAAACAATTGTAATCATTTTAAAAAGATTGAACAACACACTCACTCCACCATTCATCATTTTGTATACTTTTTTTCTTGATACTTTATTTGTATATTTTTACATACTGTGTGCCCATTAATAAATTTTGTAGATCTTATTTATTTTATAGCACTTCAACTGTAAACATAACACTTTTCCACTTGTACACAAACACGACACAATTGTCAACTCTCAACTGGTAAAGAAAATTTCAGAATAATCACTTTCAAACTGAAAATTGACATCCATTAGCATTCATTACATAGATTTTTTTATCATTAAAACTTATCTTTATAACGAGCAGTGTGGGTTGGGTATCTTTTCATGTGTTGACTAATAGCTGAGGAATTATTCAACTGTGATTACTTCCAAAGTGCAATGCTTGTAGCATCAAAAAACACGCTTTTATTTTTGCCAACCGCCAACTGGTAAAGAGAAGTTTTAGAATAATCACTTTCAAACTGAATATTGACATCCATTAGCATTCATAACATAGATTGTTTTAACATTAAAGCTTATCTTTATAACAAGCAGTGTGGATTAGGTTCAAGTATCTTTTCATGTGTTGACTAATAGCTGAGGAATTATTCAACTGTGATTACTTCCAAAGTGCAATGCATGTAGCATCAAAAAACACGCTTTTATTTTTGCCAACCGCCAACTGGTAAAGAGAAGTTTTAGAATAATCACTTTCAAACTGAAAATTGACATCCATTGGCATTCATTACATAGATTTTTTTATCATTAAAACTTATCTTTATACGTGCAGTGTGGGTTGGGTATCTTTTCATGTGTTGACTAATAGCTGAGAAATTATTCAACTGTGATTACTTCCAAAGAGCAATGCATGTAGCATCAAAAAACACACGCCTCTATTTATTTATTTATTTTTTAATTTTACGCCATGCAGTTATATTTTTAGATGTTACATTAAATTCCATGGACATTGCAATTTTTAGCATTTTGACTGAGAACGTAAATCATAAAACACTTTTTTTTTTTTACTGATACCTTTGCATGTATATTTTTAGATAGCGCTTGCAATTTAATAAATTCTATATATCTTCTATTTTATAGCTCTTTGACTGTAAACATAACGCTTTTCCAACTGTATGCAACAAATACGAAACATTTTTCAACTGCCAACTGGCAAAAAGGATTTTCAAAACTCTTACTTTGATTTTCACTCATAAGGGGACGACCAGGTTGGTGAGTCCCAACTTTGGACCAAACATTTTTCAGTGATTTTACACTTCAAAATATCAGATACCAATTCTCCACTTCTTGTGAATAGATTTTGCCAAAAAAATTTGAATGTTGAATTTTTTTTAAAAATGGTATTAAATTATTTGTATTGCTTTTGAATTATAGCCGTTTCATTAAGATATTCCAATAACAACTTCTCAAAAATTGGAAAAATTTTAGGGGTCAAAAAATTGATAAATTTAAATTCAAACAAAAATTTATATTTTGGGGGAGGGGTCTCAAAGTGGTGCTAAAACGAAATTTCATATTAATCTCACAAAAAAATCTAGTACTAAATCTACTTGAAAAATATTTGATTTTTAGAATATTTTTTGTTTACTAATAAACTTTGACAGGTTTTATATTGCATGTTATTTATATTTTATTGCAATCTATGTAAACAGTGCTGTAAAATAATATATTCACATTGTTGTTTTGAGCAAGTAGAAAGGTGAAATAGGATATTTAAAAAAAAATTCAAAATAATTGTTGTTTTTTTTTTTGCAAAACCAGGGCCTATTAACAAGAAGTGGAATGTACGTCTGATATTTTGGAGTGTAGAATCAGAAAAAAAGTGGTCCAAATCTGCATCCCACCAACATGCTGGTTGGCCCTTGTCAAACACGAAGTAATCGACTTGCATGAGAAATTACCGCAAGCTATAATCATTGGAGAGAGTATAATAGCTTTTGAAATCAATATTGACATCCATTGGCATTCATCATAGATTTTTTATCATTGTATTTATTACATGCAGTGTCCGTTGGGTTCAAATATTTTTTCATGTGTTGAGTAATATCTGAGGTATAAGTCAAATGTGATACCTTTTAAAATGCAATAATTATTGCATAAAAAATCACTTGCTTTTATTTATTCTTTTTTTCAATTTTTAATTAATTTATTTACTTTTATACCATGCAGATATAAGTTTAGATATTGCATGGACATAGTCCATTTTTTACTACTTTGACTGAGAGCATAATGTTTTTCTCCCTGTACACAGCAAATTAGCTGCAACACTTTCGCTAAGTGCCAAAGAGAAATTTCAAAATAATTGCTTTGGTTTTCAATCAGACACCATATAATCGACTTTTGTGAGATAATCACTCAAAGAATTGCTTTTGATTCAATTCTCAACTTACGAGTATTTTCATCCTATTAATATTTTTTTTATCACAATTTGTTTTATCATTAACAGTATTTTTATACCTTACAGTGTGTGTTCGGGTCAAATATCTTTTAATGTGTTGAGTAATATCTGAGAATTGATTCGTGTGTGATTACTTTTACAATGCAATGCATTTTGCATAATAAACACGCATTTATTTAACATCATGCAGTTATATTTTTAGATATTTACATTAAATTCCACAGACATAGTTTGTTTAATAGCACTTTTACTATGAATATAACAACGCTTCGTCCACCTGTATACATCATATAAACTCGGCACATTTAGTACCATGCACCAAAAAGAATTTTCTAAATAATTACTTTTTGTATTTGCTCAGGTGCGATGTAATCTAATTCTGTGAGAATTTACAGCATGTAATGATAGTCTGAACATAACTAATTGCTTTTGTTTCTATTGTCGACTTGTGGTTAGTACACTTCTCAAACACAATGTCACATCACATGAAAAATAAATTAATTTTTATTTCCTTGAAGAATACGTTGCATTCTTAACACACAATTTTTTAGAATCATTAACTTTACATTGTACAGTGTGTGTTAGGTTTCAGGTATCTGTCAAGGTGTAGAGAAATAATTGAGGAATCGTTTTATTAAGGGTGGCTAATTTTTTTCCCTCTTAGTGTATTTGTTATAACGAATATAAATATCTACTTACAATATTAAAAATTATGGCTTCATACATATTTATGAGTTTATCTCAGTAATGTTAACTATGCCAACCATCCATTCTACATTACAATTCTCGTTCAATTGTCGATGAGCCATAATTTATAATTATATATTATAGTTATTCTAAGGAGATGTTTATTTTTGTTGAGGTGTGTAAATTTTTTTGAAATATTTTTTAAGTCCTGATGAAGACATTTTCTTTCTGAAGGTGCTGAGTTTTCATCTTTCTTTCATATTCACCTTACCCCTGATTTTTTAAATATATAACACTTTACATAT